ACGTTAGTAGCTCTAACTTTGGCTACAAGGGTCCTGGGTTCGAATCCCAGGTAAGGCATGGCTGTTTGTAATTGTATAGTGGGTTGAGTGGGAAGAGTAGCAAATTGCAAACACTCCACCCACTATCAAATAAAGGCAATAAAATAAAAATTTAAAAAAATAAATAAAAATTTGGATACAAGCTGAATATGGAGATTTATTATCCACATCTGGAAAATGTTGTATGCAAAATAGTGTCAATTTAAAAAAAAATGATTTTTACGAAAGCATAAAATAGGTAAAAACCAAAAAGAAATAAATAATTATATACTATTTATTTGTATTTTCAACTGTGGCCCGTGGTGCATATGAAAAATTTTATTTTGGCCCCTTGGAAAAAAAGTTGCCCATGCCTGCTATAAATGCTGTTCACTTTGCATTTGAAAACTCCCCCAATACTGCCATTAAGGGAAAACGGTTACATAAATAAAACCGAGATTGTTTAGGCTCCCAATACTATTTTTTGAAAAATGCCCTGTACTGCCATTAGGGTAAAAGTGCCACAGAAATCAAGATGGTTTATCTGCCTTAATCTCCCAAGAAAACCCTCTGTATCGAGGGGTGAACCACTGGTGAAGTATGGTGTACAAGTGTGATGAAGTCCGTGAAGTTCATATGAAGTTTTGGTGAAGTCCATGAAATATTGGTGAAGTTCGTGAAGTATTGTTGAAGTGCGTGAAGTACTGATGAAGTCCGTGAAGTATTGATGAAGTCCGTGAAGTATTGGTGAAGTTAGTGAAGTTTAAGCGAACTATTGGAAAAATGCATGAGGTTGTGGCGAAGTTTATATTCAAATCCCTTAACAAAAATCGTACGGTAGTTCAATTCACGGTTGTAACCACTAAAATTCGAGGTAAAATTAAATAAATTTCTGCGAAATAAAACTGAAAGTATAGATTAAAAAATCTATGCTGAAAGGTAAGTTTTTTATCCGCAAAAGTATATGGCATTTATTTATGAAAGACTAACTATGCCCATTTCTACAAAACAAAAGGACAGTTACACAGGCGACAGACGCCCTGATGAGACAGCGACTCATAGACGTACTGATAGTCCTTGCGTCGTAGTTATGTGTAGGTACAAAGATCGTAAATTGTTTCCTTTTAAAAATTTAATAAATCCTTTCCTTTATTATCATCAGGTTCAGGTAGCTAAATAACACTTTTATTAGGTATATTAAAATAAAATCGACAGACGGAAAATTTGTCACGTGGATAGCGGCTTTTGTTTTCCTTAAAATCTCAGCACTCTCCACAACTTAGTACATCAGCCCCTTGCAAATCAAGTTTCTGGCCACGCCATTGAGTTATTTACGCCTATAATGTCAATCCCGAGGTCAATACTATCCCACAAACAACACCATTAGCATAATTCTTGAAAATAATCCCCTAAAAATGCAACCTGTTGTAAAAGGATTAAGAGTTGCTTATTGGGTTCAGTCTGGTAATATGTTACAATACCTTTTAAAAGACCTAAGCAATATTTTCCCGCTTATTTTGTTTGTTTTTTGAAATGAAATTTTTAAAAGAAGAATTGGACACCTTTATATGGTATAGAGCCAGATCTCCAATCTGTTAATAAAACACATATTTTAACAGGACCCATTACATTAACAGGAAGTGAACCATTTAGTATAACTACATAGGAAGGTATAACAGAAATTTGAAGCTTATAAAGTCTTAAGTATAAATGGTGCACAACTCCTGTGCAGATAAAGATAAAGGGCCATTTTTTAAACCGAAATAGCTTAGTAAATGGTTGGGTTAGAAGGTAGTAGCATGTTATCGATATTTACTTTCTTAGTAGATGATTGATGGGAGGACATTGAAAATCCTCCGACACCCCCGATTGATTTTGCCTTTGAAAGTACTTTCCTCCGATTAACCGTTTTCGAGATAATCGCTCAATGGATATATTTCTTTAAGATGTCCCAATCGCCCTTTGTGAGTACTCTTCCAACAATCTGTTGTGGAGATATAAGGGGATATATCCAATCACGGTAAGGGATCGAAGAAGAGGACTATGGTTGGTAGAAATTAATTCCTTTCGTTGAGACCTTTAATTAGAATATCATGAAAGATAAAATACGCCCCCCCCCCGCGCCATGAACTGAACTTGAAAAAGAGTCGCGCGGTAACGTTATAGTTTGTGCAAACCAATTTATTTCGATGAGACCATGAAAGGTGGAACGGGTGTTTACCCCCGTCCCCCCTCCCCATTTTCAAAATTTTTACTGCACCACTAAAGCCATGCGCCAATTGATTGCCGTATGTAAAAGTAATGCACGTTTTACTTTTACTTTCAAAAACAGCATCTCAGGAAATAATTGATGGAGGCCACCTCCCTTAAGACAGCGAAATTTGATTGCCGTGTGCCACACCTTCAAGGTATAGGCTACATATTGCAAAAAATTCCAGGACTCTAGGACCATTCCCCTAAAAGTAGTTCAAAACCGCAGAAGTGGGTCCGACGGGCGGGCAAAACTCAAACAAAAGCCCATTTTTTTAAAAATTGCTTTAAAAAATTGATTCATTTCAATTTCGCCTATGTACTTACCTCTATGTATAAACAAAGTATGTTTTTATTTTACTTTATATTACCGTTTCGTTTTTGTTATGCCTCTATTATCATTTATATCAATACATTCTACATCTTTTACTGCTTTGAGTGCTTTACAAGAACTCTAGAAAAAAGGATGGGTTTTGTCCATTGCAAAATATCAGTGAAATTCATAAAGTATCAGTGAAGTCCGTGAAGTTTTTGGTGGAATACATGAAGTGTCGGTGAAGTCCGTGAAGTTCGGTGAAGTATTGATGAAGTCTATGAAGTATTGGTGAAGTCCGTGAAGTATTGATGAAGTCCATGAAGTATTGATGAAATACGTGAAGTATGAAGTTTGGTGTACACGATTTTGCCTAGCGATTTACCCCTCGCTCTGTATACTATTTTGGTTTTGAAGCCATTTGAAAACTCTCCTCAATGTTGCCATTAGAAGAATACTCTCCCAGAAATAAAACCGATATTGATTTAATGTGACGATGCTTACAAGCACTTTGGAATAGGGAAATAGTTGTGGATCCAGTATTGAACCCTGCGGAAAGCCATGCTCTGTGAATGCGCTGCATTATCGAAAACAATCACCGCAATCCCTAATGAATCACACCAATTGTTAGACACTTAGCAAACAATTGGAATACTCGCCACCATTACCCGACAATCGGTTCGACCTGTACAGGGTAGTTCAAATTCGTAGCTCACTATTGGGATCTGCGTAACGGTGAGAGATACAGTGTAGGTTCAATGTGGCCCTTTTCTCACTAAAAAAACGCATTTGAAAGTTTGAAACATTTTTAAAATATCGCCGAAAAACTGAAAATGTTAAATTTCGTTTTCATCTTTCCTAGCGTTCTATGGGCACTTTTTCTCCAGGAATGTGAATCTGTTATCAGAATTTCCATAACACGCTAGATGTAGAAGCTACAGGGCAACTACTCTCTCATTTCGGATTGCGCAAATATATACAAAATAAAAGTTGGATGTGCATGCGCAAATTTTTTTCATCTGCATCGTTGCTTGAGGTTTATGGAATATTTACTACCATAGAAAACCGGACATTCATATGTGTTTTGTAACAAAAATTACCCTTTTTGGGGGTTTGGGCAGAAAAACAATAGCGACTTTTTTTATTTTCAAAGCTACCGTTACTGAACATAGTTGTCGTACACACGGACAAACGGAGAGACAGACAGATGGACAGTAATACAAAATTATAGACGATCTCGAGTATCGTTAGTATTTATTATTTACACCATTTATTTTTCTAACTTCATAAACTTTTTTTTATTCAAAATTAAAGTTCTATCATTACTGATGCTATTGGTACACCCTACAAGAACTATAATATTAAGAAATTTCTCAATGTTCTATAACGGTGTCCAAAATTCACCACTAAGCCCTATCTAATCGGATATTTTCACTCGATATTTTCCCGTTTAGTAGTCTAAATTTAAATGAAGCTGCATGTTCCCCAAGACGTAAATTTCATGCTACTTAGTTACTAACTACAAAAATGTATGTTACAGATTTCCATGGACAGTGTAAAACAGGATACGAATCAAGAGAAAAGAAAATTGCAAGCCACGTGCATTTCTTACCAATTATAATTACATTAACTTTCTTTTCTGTGTAAAATTACTACGCCAATTACAATTGGTCATTCCAAGAACATTTTAAGAAATGTAGTGCACTCGTTTAGAAAATTTGAATTAATTGCGATTCAAATTCAATTACTTCAAGCTCTGACTAATATCAACTTGCACAATGCAATAATTAGCAACGTACAATTTCCGTCTTTGTTAATTAAGGGGGCTATGCGAATATTTTTCTATTCAACCAGAAGGCACTATCATTACATACGAACCGTTAAACGTGAATTTAATTACGATTTTTTAAATATGTAAACGAGCTTTGGTCCCGACAATGTGCTCACGAGAGTGAATTCCGATACATAAAGCATAATTTGGGTCATTACGAGTATATATAAATAAATTCACTAAACCTTCATTCGGCGCGAAGGACGGTGTTAACAATAGGCCGCGTACAAAATACGCGAAGGAATTGCGATGAATCATCATCTAACAGTACACACTGTCGTTTTCCAAACATACCAATGAGAAAGATTCTAGATCGCTCGGCCCGGAACTAAGATGGAATAAATTTGGGATGAAGATTAATAACACCTACATGGTGCGCTCGGTTACAGTTAACCTTCCAAGACATGTCAATTAACTTTTATTTAGAACACACAGCGCTACATATGTCAACCTGCCGTTTGTATAGTAAGGAACGTGCGCCGCAAAAGTAAATGTCCCAATTTTTTGGCACCATTCTTTCGACTCGAATGCTCAATTTATAATGACAACAGAAATAAACCGCAATTAACATTTAGATCGCCTACTTACCCATCAAAAAACATGGCATCGGCGACATGGTCCTTCCGGCGATTTGGATGATGCACAAAAGTATGTAACCGATAAGTAAACATACGATGTGATTCGTTTGGCATCTCCAATGCAGAACGTGGTGGCTTGCCGGAAGCAGAGATCCTGCGGCAAGGGTGGCCGCCAGAAAGATGGCGCTCAGTGCTAAACCGATGGGGTACAACGTGAAACGCAAGTCCGATTGTTTGGTTGCCGGTACGGTCGTGACGGTTGGTGGCATGTAATGGTTGCAGGTAATTACGCTCGGCTGTCCTGAAAGAGAAACATCCACATTAACACGTTTCTGCTAAATAATTGCAATTTCTGTCCAAACTAGCATTGATCATCAAGTTTTAATTCATGTAGGTATATGTAGGAAAAAAAGTGTGAATCTCTGGACCACTCTCGTCTCGACTCTTTTGATACAAAATGACCCAATACATTAATATAGAAGGTTGTCCATTAGATATTTAACTGACACAAGAAAAACCACCCCTAATTCTGAGTTACTTACTGTCAGACGTTGCAGTTTCGGACTCCGTTGGGGATGATAATGAGATTATTGATTTTTAATCTGCTTACATCGCATGTTTTGTGCAGAATTTTATTCGGTGGCAGATGCCAAGAACAGTGATTTTTTGAGTATGAAGCTTGGCAAAAAGTAGAGTCTTCAGCCTTTACTTTGTTTTGAAAAGTGTAATTATAGGCAGTAATCATTTCATTCTATTCAATCTTTAAATTTCGTGTCACAACCTGTTATTTACATTTTGCATTATATTTTGACGTTTATTGAATCTTCAAGGTTTGTTTTATGTACATACAGTTACTGAATCATGTTTGTTCGTTTTTAATGTACACGTGAATACATAAATAAATACTTATCGAGGTATATCCACCTGTACATTAAAAACGAACAAACATGATTCAGTAACTGTATGTACATAAAACAAACCTTGAAGATTCAATAAACGTCAAAATATAATGCAAAATGTAAATAACAGGTTGTGACACGAAATTTAAAGATTGAATAGAATGAAATGATTACTGCCTATAATTACACTTTTCAAAACAAAGTAAAGGCTGAAGACTCTACTTTTTGCCAAGCTTCATACTCAAAAAATCCCTGTTCTTGGTATCTGCGACCGAATAAAATTCTGCACAAAACATGCGATGTAAGCAGATTAAAAATCAATAATCTCATTATCATCCCCAACGGAGTCCGAAACTGCAACGTCTGACAGTAAGTAACTCAGAATTAGGGGTGGTTTTTCTTGTGTCAGTTAAATATCTAATGGACAACCTTCTATATTAATGTATTGGGTCATTTTGTATCAAAAGAGTCGAGACGAGAGTGGTCCAGAGATTCACACTTTTTTTCCTACATATACCTACATGAATTAAAACTTGATGATCAATGCTAGTTTGGACAGAAATTGCAATTATTTAGCAGAAACGTGTTAATGTGGATGTTTCTCTTTCAGGACAGCCGAGCGTAATTACCTGCAACCATTACATGCCACCAACCGTCACGACCGTACCGGCAACCAAACAATCGGACTTGCGTTTCACGTTGTACCCCATCGGTTTAGCACTGAGCGCCATCTTTCTGGCGGCCACCCTTGCCGCAGGATCTCTGCTTCCGGCAAGCCACCACGTTCTGCATTGGAGATGCCAAACGAATCACATCGTATGTTTACTTATCGGTTACATACTTTTGTGCATCATCCAAATCGCCGGAAGGACCATGTCGCCGATGCCATGTTTTTTGATGGGTAAGTAGGCGATCTAAATGTTAATTGCGGTTTATTTCTGTTGTCATTATAAATTGAGCATTCGAGTCGAAAGAATGGTGCCAAAAAATTGGGACATTTACTTTTGCGGCGCACGTTCCTTACTATACAAACGGCAGGTTGACATATGTAGCGCTGTGTGTTCTAAATAAAAGTTAATTGACATGTCTTGGAAGGTTAACTGTAACCGAGCGCACCATGTAGGTGTTATTAATCTTCATCCCAAATTTATTCCATCTTAGTTCCGGGCCGAGCGATCTAGAATCTTTCTCATTGGTATGTTTGGAAAACGACAGTGTGTACTGTTAGATGATGATTCATCGCAATTCCTTCGCGTATTTTGTACGCGGCCTATTGTTAACACCGTCCTTCGCGCCGAATGAAGGTTTAGTGAATTTATTTATATATACTCGTAATGACCCAAATTATGCTTTATGTATCGGAATTCACTCTCGTGAGCACATTGTCGGGACCAAAGCTCGTTTACATATTTAAAAAATCGTAATTAAATTCACGTTTAACGGTTCGTATGTAATGATAGTGCCTTCTGGTTGAATAGAAAAATATTCGCATAGCCCCCTTAATTAACAAAGACGGAAATTGTACGTTGCTAATTATTGCATTGTGCAAGTTGATATTAGTCAGAGCTTGAAGTAATTGAATTTGAATCGCAATTAATTCAAATTTTCTAAACGAGTGCACTACATTTCTTAAAATGTTCTTGGAATGACCAATTGTAATTGGCGTAGTAATTTTACACAGAAAAGAAAGTTAATGTAATTATAATTGGTAAGAAATGCACGTGGCTTGCAATTTTCTTTTCTCTTGATTCGTATCCTGTTTTACACTGTCCATGGAAATCTGTAACATACATTTTTGTAGTTAGTAACTAAGTAGCATGAAATTTACGTCTTGGGGAACATGCAGCTTCATTTAAATTTAGACTACTAAACGGGAAAATATCGAGTGAAAATATCCGATTAGATAGGGCTTAGTGGTGAATTTTGGACACCGTTATAGAACATTGAGAAATTTCTTAATATTATAGTTCTTGTAGGGTGTACCAATAGCATCAGTAATGATAGAACTTTAATTTTGAATAAAAAAAAGTTTATGAAGTTAGAAAAATAAATGGTGTAAATAATAAATACTAACGATACTCGAGATCGTCTATAATTTTGTATTACTGTCCATCTGTCTGTCTCTCCGTTTGTCCGTGTGTACGACAACTATGTTCAGTAACGGTAGCTTTGAAAATAAAAAAAGTCGCTATTGTTTTTCTGCCCAAACCCCCAAAAAGGGTAATTTTTGTTACAAAACACATATGAATGTCCGGTTTTCTATGGTAGTAAATATTCCATAAACCTCAAGCAACGATGCAGATGAAAAAAATTTGCGCATGCACATCCAACTTTTACTTTTTGTATATATTTGCGCAATCCGAAATGAGAGAGTAGTTGCCCTGTAGCTTCTACATCTAGCGTGTTATGGAAATTCTGATAACAGATTCACATTCCTGGAGAAAAAGTGCCCATAGAACGCTAGGAAAGATGAAAACGAAATTTAACATTTTCAGTTTTTCGGCGATATTTTA